AGAATACTGCATGAAGCAGGTTCAAGGGACGGTCCCAGAACTCTGAACTACTTATAAAGGAATATTTAGAAAGTTTGAAGGCTTTCAGCCAGTGGAATTTGTAGTGAAAGCGAGAAAACTAGTGTTTTCTGATCTGTGGCTCTTGGCTGCTCCCAGAGCTGCCATCTTGGGGGTGACGGAGTGGGTGAAGGATCAGAGGGCTGCTCCCACCGCAGAAGGAATAGAAGCAAATACTGTTGAATGATGATGCTTGGAGGGGATTGTCATCATTACAATGAAACAATGAGTGTAAAACCGATGTTCTCCCATGTAAACTATCACTCAGTTCACAGTAAAAACTTAAGAAAAAAAACAAAAGATGGCACCAAGAAGCCCTGGTGGCACAACGGTTAAGTGTTCTGCTGCTGACCCCAAGGTTGGCTGTTCAGTCCCACACACAGCCTCTGGGCGAAAGACCTGGCAATCTCTTTCCGTTAGATTGTTGTTGTTGTTAGGTGCCATCGAGTCAGTACCTACCCATAGCGACCTTATGCACAACAGACCGAAACACTGCCCGATCCTGGGCCAACCTCACTACTGTTGCCACGCTTGAGTCCATCAATGCTGCCACTACCAATCCATCTCGCTGGGGGTCTTCCTCTTTTTCTCTGACCCTCCACCTTACCAAACACGATATTCTTCTCCAGCAACTGGTCCCTCCTGAAAATATGTCCAAAGTATGAGAGACAAAGTTTGGCCATCTTGGCCTCCAAGGAGCACTCTGCCTGTACTACTTCCAACACAGATCTATTGGTTCTTTTGGCAGTCCATGGCACTTTCAGTATTCTCCTCCAACACCACAACTCAAAAGCATCAATTCTTCTGCAGTCTTACTTATTCACTGTCCTGCTTTTGCATGCACATGAGGTTATTGAAAACACCATGGCTTGGGTCAGGCGCACCTTAGTCCTCAAGCTGACATCTTTGCTCTTCAACACTTTAAAAAGGTCTTGTGCAGCAGA